AAAAAAAATTTTATGTACGGGACTAAAAATTTTGATTACGGGAAACAGAAATTTTGTGTACGGGAAAATAAAATTGAAAATTACTTTTCCTTTATTCAAGGTCTGATAACTTATTTTCAACATTGTCTACTCCTAATACTCATTAAGATGCTTTCCTGATAAATATTAATCAAACAAATAGTGTTCCTCATAAAGTTTTATAATTCTCAAAATAAATCAAATAGAGAGACATTTATATCATCTTGTGAGTCCGAATGCAAATAATCCTATAGAACACCCATTAAAATCTAAATTTTTGATTGATTACAATTGTTTAAGTTGATACATAAGTTTAAATTATTTTACTAGGAGAACAAAAATGATTAACAGAGAAAAAAAAATTAGTTACGGGAAAAAAAATTATATATACGGGACAAAAAATTTTGATTACAGGAAACAGAAATTTTGTGTACGGGAAAATAAAGTTGATAATTACTTTTCCTTTATTTTCAGTCTAATACCATATTTTTGAATATTGCCTATTTTTAATGATCATAATAGTGCTTTCTTGAGATGTATTAATGAAATAAATAGTGTTCCTCATAAAGTTTATAACTCCCAAAATTAAATCCAATTGTGAGAAAGTTATATCATATTATGAGTCGACACGCAACTTAAACTGAGATAACCCCTCAGAATGTAAGGCTTCGATTGATTAGACCTGTTTAAGTCTATAAATATAATTCAATTATTTTACACGGAGAGTAAATATGATTTACGGGGGAAAAAAAATTAAGTACGGGAAAAGAAATTTTTTGTACGGGAAATTAAATTTTGAGTACAGGAAACAAAAATTGCTTTTGCAGGAAATGAAAATAAAGTTACAAGAAGTTGAATAGAAATTAAATTTCGTTTAAATCTAGACTTCCCATGAATTAAATTGAATAGATTCTGACTTACCTTAGCTCTATCAATCTAAGTTTATCTTTAAAATATTTCATGAGATTTAATAACAATAATTTTATAAATTATCGTTTCTATTAGAACTAATAAAGAATATACTATAATTTCTGTTTTACATTAAACCAATAATCAATAGAATGGTCTTATTATCTGAGAATGAAAGCATTTTAGAGGTTTTTTTTTAATTTTCGTATATAAATAAATAAAAATAGAATAAAGAATTGATCTGATTCTGTTAAGAATGATAAGAATGATATAATGAATGGACCCTCTATTGGAATATATCAATTATATCTGAATCTGATAACCTGATAATTTTAAATTTTTTTATAAAGACTTTTTTTTGCGTCAAATAATATCATGGTAAGTGAGAATGTATTATAAGGGAGGTGAAAAAATTTTGGATAAAAATCGAATTCGATTTTTATAAAGACTTTTT